CAGTGTTAGTAGTTGCCAGAAGTCAGAGATACTCAACAGAGTTCTGTTGTATTAAACTTCCTTTGTGTGAAAACTGCACCAGATATTCCATCTCATTAGTAGTCAAACAGATCCTTGATGATTAGTGACATTTAGCATTTTTTCATATACCTTTTGACCACCTGTATGTTTTCTTTGGAGAAATATCTATTTAAGTCCATAACCCATTTTCTAATTAAGTTATTAGGGTTGTTTTCTCTCTCTCTTAAGTTACAGAAGATTTTATATATTTTGAAAATGAACCCTTGTTTTTTTTGTCCAATAGCTATTTATTGATTACTATGTGCCAGCTACTATGGATTCTAGGGCTATAGGTGTAAATAAGAAACTCTCCCTCAATCAAAAGGCTTAAAGTTCATTTGTAAAGACTTACAAACAAATGGTTACAATAGAAGATAAATCAATAAGCCTCAGCCTTCCTTCATTTTCTGTCTTCCAGAAATACTTATTGCTCACTATATTTAAAATTATTTTTTCCTTTTACCTCCCTCACCATTTCTCCCACCACCCCACAACCACCAATCTGTCCTCTGTATGTATGAGATTATGATTTTGTTGTTATTTATTTTCTTCTGTTTTAGATTCTACATATAGGAGATATGATATGGTAATTGTCTTTCTCTGTCTGACTTATCTCACTTCGCATATTGCACTTGAGGGCCATCATGTTGTTGAAAATGGAAGGATTTTTTTCTTTTTTATGGCTGAATAGTATTTCATTGTACTACACATACCACAATTTCTTTATCAATTCATCCATCAAGTGACACTTAGATTGTTTCTATATTTTGGCTATTTTAAAGAATGCTGTAATGAACATGGGGAGGTAAATATCTTTATAAGATAGTGTATTCATTTTCTTTGGAAAAATACCCAGAAGTAGATTTTCTGAATCATATGGTAGTTCTATTTTTATTTCTTTGGGAAACGACATACTGTTTTTCATATTGCCTGCACTAATTTACATTTCCACCAACAGTGCACAAGGGTTACCTTTTCCCCACATTCTCACCAACACTTGTTATTTGTTGTCTTTTTAATAATATTCATGCTAACAGGTGTGAGGTAATATGACATTGTAGTTTTGATTTGTGCTTCCTGATGATTAATGGTGTTGAGAATCTTTTCATGTACCTGTTAGCCATTTGTATTTTTTTGGGGGGGGAGGAGGAGAATGCCTATTCAGAGCTTCTGCCCATTTTTTAATCAGGTTGTTTGTGGTTTTGCTATCAAGTTGACTTTCTAGATATTACCCCTTATCAGATATATGATTTACAAATATTTCCTTCCATTCAGTAGGTTGCCTCTTCACCCTGTTGATGGCTTCCTTTGTTGTGCAGAACCTTTTTAGTTGACGAAGTCCAACTTGTTCTTGTTGCTTGGGCTTTCTTGTAGTATCATATCCATGACATCATTGCCAAGATCCATGTCATAAAGACTTCCTCCATGTTTTCTTCTAATAGTTTTATGGTTACAGGTCTTATGTTTAACTTTTTAGTCTATTTTGAGTTGACTTTTGTATATGGTATAAGGTAGTGGTCCAATTTCATAATTTGCATGTTGATATAGTTTTCCCAGAACCATTTTTTGAAGAAACTGTCCTTTGGCCATTGTATATTCTTGATGCCCTTGTCAAATAGCAGTTGACTGTATGCTTGTAGATGTATTTCTACAACCTCTATTTAGTTCCATTGGTCTATATGTCTGTCTTTATGCCAGTACATGCTCTTTGATTATTATAGCTTTGTAACATATTTTGAAATCAGGAAGTGCAATGCCTCCAGCTTTGTTCTTTCTTAGGATTGGTTTGGCTATTTGTGGTTCCACAGGAGTTATAATTTTTTTTTTAATTTTTATAAAAAATACTATTGGGATTTTGATAGGGATTGCATGGAATCTGCAGATCACTTTGGGTAGTATGGATGTTTTAACAATATTAAATCTTCCAGCTCATGAACATGGAATATCTTTTCATTTGTTCATGACTTCTTAAACTTTCATTAGTGTTTTGTAGTTTTCAGTATACAAGTCTTTCACTTCCTTAGTTAAGTTTATTCCTAAATATTTTATTCCTTTTGGTGCTATTGTAAAATGAAGTTATTTTTCTAATTTCCTTTTCAGATAACTTGTTGTTAGTGTATAAAACAACTGATATGTGTGTGTTGATTTAGTATCTTGCAAATTTACTGAGTCAATTTATTAGTTCTCATCGTTTTTTATGGAGACTTTAGAGAATTCTACATATACGAACATGTTGTCTCCAAAGAAGAACAATTTTACTCCTCCCTTTCCAACTTGGATACATAACCTTTTGATTTCTTAGGGTCAACATAGATATCAGTTTACTGGGTTTCCCAAACTGCAGGGGACACAAATTAAGACCCTCTCTTGAGCTGGGGTAAAGGAGCAATTACTCATCATCCTTCCACTTCACTGGAAGTGAAATCATAGCACAACATTACCAAATCAATCCATTTTATAAACCATTTCTCCTCAATTCACAAACTCTTACTCTTCCATGCCAGCTCCCTGTCACTTACTATTTTGGGATCCAGTTACTTTAGGATCCAGAAATGCCAGTCATCCAGTTATGTAAAGCAAAAATATGCCTTACATTGNTCTGTAACCTTAATGCTTAGAGTAACTCAATAACTTCTTAATTTCTTTAGTGGATTTACAGAAATTAGAGATGAATTTTCTAGTATGGCTGAGGGCTCTAAAGAGTACTGAGAAGGTATAAGAATGTTCTAGTAAAGATGAGGGAAGGGAGCAATGGTCCAAACACTGCAGAAGAGAGAACATATAACATAGACAGACCCTGATTTTCTTAAAGAAAACGTATGAGATATTGATATTATGAAAGTGTGACAAATACAAAAGCTCTCAGGTCTTTCTTTGTCCAGTTGATTGTTACTATTTATATTCTGAAAGCACCAAGAGGAAAAAAGACATTCCCTAGGTTTCCTTGACAAATAATACATTGTGAGCCTTGAGTCTAGAGCTCATGATCAATTCTGAAGAAATGGCAGTGATTTTTATTAGAATGTCAATTCTACTGGTTCCTCAGCTGTAATTGTAGGAAAATGTGAAGATCCTAAGATCTGAGAATGCACCCTAGGTGTCTGACCAGATAGCTACGTGATCTGAGAAAAGAGCTTCTTATTTATGCAGTACACAATGTATTTGTAAACAATGGTATTGATTTTCCACAGCCATAAATGCAAATCAGCCTTATTATTTAATAATCAGCTCTAGGCACACAGGGGCAATTAACCAGTTGGCACCAAAGCCAACTAAACTGTCAACAATGCAAATTTATCTAAGCAGGCTTCAGGAAAACTCACTCTGGCTCAAAAAATTGGTTATGTTTGTATGGTTTCAGGAAATTTCCCTAAAAATTCAACTGAACATTTAAGCAAGGCTTTATTTTTAAATATTGATACTAAATTTCATGACATCTAGTTTATTATGAGAATACTAGAATTTAACATGAATGTTTGGTTTATTTATTTATTTATTTTTTTACTTTCTATAAAGTTAACACGGTCTTTATTTTTAAAAACAAAGTAAAGGTCATATTGTTAATTATACTACTCTTGGAATGCTCCTGTTTGTTTAGCCAGGTTCTTTACTGCATAAATATGATATTTAAATAAGGTAATTAGGTACAATACATTATTATTGGCAGACATGAAAACTAATGAATACCACTAAATAATGTAGCTAAATATTATGAATGCCACTAAATAAAGCCCAAAGAAAAATACACTACAAAATTTATTGTTTACTTACTCTGACACCTTTCACATAATTATTTTCTATGATTTATACAGATACTTATTTTTCATATGTAATTGAAGGCAGCTTATATGATTAACACAGCTTCTTTATTTAAAATATTTTCAATCAGTCTCCACTATCATTCATTTTTGACAATACAAAAAAAAATAAGACTCATGTATAAAACCATTTTTTTTGCCTGGGCATTTTGGCCTATTTCCTGTAAATGTGGCAATAAACAAGTAGATGTCTCAACCATAACATAGGCCTATGTCTCAGCCTAAATTTCCTTAGAAGTGCACAGTAAGAGAAGAGATTTTAATACTTCTCACAAATTAAAAATACTGAGTTCTTAAATAACTCAGTTTACCCATATAACTGTGAAGATAGAATGAAAATATTACACGTTACTGTTTTTTGTCATAGTATTTTAAAATCTCATTACATGTACACAAATATATAATTTCATTACATATATAACTTTATTAGACATAAACATGTAGATTTTACTTAAACATATAAATGTGATCATATCAACATGTTTTTTATTTGTGTTTTCCAATGCTATCATTCTCCTTTTACAGCTAAGACTACTGAGGTTCAGAGTTACTAACTGGGTTACCTAATATTTATGGTGGGTAAGTAATAAGGCGGCCAGTGCTCTTTCCAGGGAAACCCACTTCCCACATTCAAGCTTTTAGTTTCATCTGCTGTTCATGTTAGACTCGAGTACACGAGGAGACTTGCTATTGTGCTAGAGCTTTGGAGTTCACTCACAGATCATATTTTCCTATTCTATCCTTTTGCCTGGGCGGCAAGTGAAGGCCATCGAAGTAACTGAAGAAAACCAGACAGAGATAATGACAGCACTGGAACTCAAGCCCTATGATCTTTTGGATGCTACCTAGAGATGAAGATTATCTAGAAGATCACAGCGTAGCCTCAGGAGGCAACCACAAGGGTACTTCAGTGGGTATACGCATACACATTCCTCTGGGCATCTTAACAGTAGCATTAATCCAGATGTATTTCAACGTTTCTTTAGGAAATAGTGTTTTTAAAATGACCCTATTAGAGCTCTCAAACCCCAAACCGTAGCACATTGGTGCCCTAATGCATTTCAACCAAAGAAGAAAATGTGATGCAACAAGGAACAGATTTGGCAGTAGAGCTGCACTTACCTTCATAAGTCCCACTTTCTAGGAGAGCACCACTTTTCTCCAATTCCATGAAATCTTCAACAGTGATGAAAATATAGTCCACTCCAGGGACCTCACCCTCCTTATGTGGCCTTGTGGTGCCTGAATAAAGAAAATTAAAAACAAAAGAAAGACTCTGATTTGTTGTTGAACTCTAGAAATACCATCATACTTCTGAATATTCAATTATACTTGATTGTATATCCTGCTAGTTGGCAGTTTGCGTTTGTCCTTCTGTTTGTTAATAGAAAAGAGTGGGGGTAAAGATTAAGATAAATATACAAAGCATTTTTCTTCTTCAAGCTTGTAAAGAGTTCATTGCCATGGAATGTGGCTGCATAGATTTTTCTGTGAAAAATGTAGACCATTCTGCTCTTTTTGAAGAGGTGGTTTGAATATTGGGCCAGGCATTTGCTAGCTCAGGAATTTACATATCTCATACCCATGAATGAACCTCTATTGTTCTACAGACTGCTTTGCTATGACATAAAATACAATGGAAAATAGAAATGTTAGCAAAATGTCTATTTATTTATATATTTTCATGATCTGCTCCTTTAAAAGAGGTGGAACTGTTGGTTTTCATTTGTTAATTTTGCACCAAATCATAACTTATATTTGATGTACAGGACCCCCAAATCATTACAATTCTTAAAATTACATTAATAACTGGAATTGAGTAATGATTATAATTGAGTTAATATTATAATGCTCATAATATAATTTCATTCCTTTCTTTTTCCTTTATTCCTTTCTTTCTTCCTTTCTTCCTTCCTTCCTCCCTTCTTCCTTCCTACCCTCCCTCCCTTCCCTTATTATTTCCCTAAATTCTCACTGAATTGAGAGGTGACACACTCCAGAGGCTACTGTGTAGACCCACCAGTCCACCCTTAGAGTGGATGGGGCTTCTATGGCCAGGGTCACAGGAACATCAGCCTGTGGCTCAGTACAGCTCTGCTGCAGAACTCAGCCTTCCAGACCTGCTGTCCAGCTTGTGAGGTGGGAACCAAAACAGAGACAGAATAAAGGCTGTGTATTTGTTTGCTGGTACACTTGCTTCTCTAAACATTCCCAAAGTTTCCTCATTTTTTTTTTCTATGCCACCTACATAAGGCATTTTGCATGGTCAGATTGCAATTTATGTAATATATACATGTAAGTAGTATGCAGAAATAGACAGAGGGCAAATATACAAGCAAAGTAATAGTACATTGGCAGGCATCTTCATATTGAAAATCTCCTCCATATTTTCTATATNCAATAAAACCTTTAAAAAGAAAAGAAAAAAAAAAGTTGTTCCTGTTACTTTCAGCTACAACTGAACAAAACCATACAGAACTAACAGTAAACTAATTCATGTTGTACGTTAGGTAAGAGCAAAGAAGTCCTTTCACTTTCCTTGACTTAAGTATTTAAGTTAAAATTTACATGCTAATATTAAATTAATTAATTAACTAATTAATTAATTGGTTAATTCTTTCTAGTCTCTATTGGGAGAAGGAAGGGACCTAGAAATAGGCATTTGCATTTCCAAATGGGACCAAAGTCCCAAGCCAAAAGAAAATTCTATCAATTTTAATGCACAATAACACTTCCAGTCTTAGTGCCTTACATAGGCGCAAAGAGCATGCAAAAATTGCATACTCTCTGGCAATGGCTCTGAACACAAATTGAATCACTTACCGAAAAAAAAAGGCATTATAAGATCTCAAAGGAGTGTAAAACTTCACCAAGTGTGTTGTTTCCTCTACTGGTAAAATAAACATTGAGTGAGCTTCATGTGTAAATGTTTAGTGTTCCTAAAATGAATACCCAGATGCATGGCTTAGAATCTTCCACAACAGGAATATTGCCAGAAGAGAGAAAAAGAAGCAAGTATCAAAAGAAAAATAATGTTTCAGTCTGGATATAAGATAATAGCTGGACCCTTTGAACTGCAAACTCCAAAATCTACTGTTGTTACAGGAGTTGTAGATTTTTTCTCTTGTAATAGAGTATAAGGAAAAGGGGAAAAATGAAATTTTATTTCATTTTGCCATCCTGGAATGACAATCTTAATATCAATGCGAGCATTGATCTGCCGTTCAAGAAATATTATTTACCTTTCAGTGGGTAGAAACTTGGAATTATAGAAGAACAGTTTTTCTCAAGACTATTTATAGAACCAATAATGATTGTTTTCCTTGGACTGAGTATCTCTTTTATTACCCAATGCCATCTTGATTAGGAATAGAAATTCACAATTTCAATAACAAATGTGTCAAGGTCATGCTTTAAAAAGCTGATGTTGATTTTAGTTATTAAAAATCAAATGAATTTATGTAAAATTTGTTGTCTCTCTTCTCTCATGCTTAGCTTATTTTCCTAGAAAATTATTTGTACTTAATCCTTCAAATATATTTTTATGGGAATTTCTGTGCTACATCAGGAAGGACAGCACTCTTTTATGTATAGATGTGAGACAACTTGAATTTGATGGTCCTTGTGATAAAATTGTTTAGGAAACCAGGTGTGCTGTTTGCAGTCAGCTCAGCTCCATATATATTATATTAGGGCCCATGACTAGGAGAAGCCACAGCATGAAGGTAAAAGTGAAAGTGAGTGCCATATTTTCACCATAGTCTGTCAGATGCCCCAAATAACTTGCTGGTCTTGATTTGGCCCTCTTGAAAGTAGGGGCAATGTTACAATTAAGCTTTTATCCATTTAAAGGCAACATTTAACTCTAGGACCAGTAGCTACTTCAATACATAGAAAAATTGCTTTGTTCAATGTAAAAGCACAACAACATAATATGGTAGCAGATATTAGAACAGAAGTGGTGCTCTGGAACACGACTGTGGATGATCTCAGCAGATGAATTAAATGAAATGAGAGTCCAGACACAATTCAGGGGACATGGGTTTAGTTAATGATGGCCTTCCAAACACAGGTTGAGGCAGGCAACTGGTGGGGGTGGTCAATGAAACCATGAATGTACCTAACATTCCAGACTACCAGGAGAAATAGGTCAGGCTGGAGTCACTGATTTACAGCCCTGGGTAAGTCAGCACTTAGGACAGCTCCCAAAGACACTGCTTTCCTTCCATGTACTTAACCTTGAGATAACCAGACCTGATCATTTAATTCTACCTCTTGGTCCCTCACTTATACCTGCATGTGACCTTAACCCCAAAGGAATTATCGTCATTCATCCAAAGAGCTCTGCAGTCTGTGTTTCGCATGAAGCATCATCACCTTCAGTCCTTTCATGAAAGTTCAGAGTGTTCATGTTACCTGAGGTTATGGCAGGTTTGCCATTGGGCCTTGTTCTAATAATGTAATATGCACTTAATTGACAATAAAAAGGTGAGAAAGAGATCATCCAAGTTATGGAAAAGACTCACTTGACCAACACCTGATGGTCCCTCAGAGCCAAGTCCCCTGGGCCACTTATATGCCAGGCCATTCAACAGCTGTTGTATAGGAAACTGAAATGGGGTGCTTAGGCTGGGTGAGGGGCTGGTGATGCAGAAAAAGGCTTTAAGAATCTGCTAAAATTCTGCCTAGGACAATGGGGCATAACTGTGGGTGGTAACTCAAGCCCATTAATTCCTTCCTCACAGCCTCTACTAAGCAACAGAATTGCTCTTTTTGGAGAAAGGACTTTGATCCAATTTCTAAGGAGGACAACTGCAGTTCAGGACAGTTCATCTCATTTCTAATCAAAGGGCAAATACTATTTTAGCTACATCAATTCACCAAGATTAAAATTAGAGTTATTTATAATGAGAGAAAAATGTAAACATATGAGAAATGCTTAAAAGAATACATTCTTGGGGCTTGCCGAGTGGCTCAGTTGGTTAAGAGTTGGCTTGGGAGTGCAAGCTCTGAGCAGCAGGGCCGCCAGTTTGGTTATCACATGGGCCAGTAAAGCTGTGCCTTCTACAGCTAAGATGGTGAACAACAGCTCAACCGGGAGCTGGGCTGCTGTGAGTGGCCAGCAGCCAGCATGAGCAGCCGATGATAACTGCTGTAATCCACCATGAGCAGCCATCCAATGGCCAGTGAGCAACTGCCTCTCCCGGGAAGAGTGCAATGATGATACCAACATGGGCCAGTAAAGCAGCATCCCCTACAACTAGACTGAAGAATCAAAAGACAGCAACTTGTCTGTTCCCCTTCCCTGATTCCCCAACACTGTTCCCCTCCCCCAATTCCCCAGTAAAATCTTAAAAAGAATACATTTTTCTTCATAACTACTTTTCAGGTGGGTGTTTCCTGTTCTGAAAATGAAAGTGGGGGCGATGTACAGAAACACTACCAGAATGGTTTTCTCGGTGATGACCAGCTTAACAAGACATTTTACAGATGACTGCCTCGACCCTCGCTAACAAAAAATGAACAAGTTCCCAGTCCCTGATAAGAAATACTTCAAGTTGG